GCAGTCATACTGGATGTTAAATCATCATCGTATCCAACAAGACATCATAAGAAATCTTTCAGTGAAAACACCATGTCGATATGACCATCCATTCTGAAGTTGCCAAATCAATATGGCTGCTATGGCAGTCATACTGGATGTTAAATCATCATCGTATCCAACAAGACATCATAAGAAATCTTTCAGTGAAAAACCTATATCATTAAGACCATCCATTTAAGAGCAGAAGAGATCAAGATATTCAAGACATTATCATGACAGTCATAAGTTGGAGACATTTGTCATTTAGGAGCAACTGGGCCATGGAACAAATATGTAAAGTTTCTACACAATACTCCAAGTAGATATGATAAAGTAATGACAATCTGTGCTAATAAATGAATGATACTGCAAGAAAAGGCCATCGCATATACACTTTTGGTCTATGACCACTAGAACTCAACAATCGAAAAATTGCTGTAATGGCCTAAAAGTTAAAAAGGCCATCAACATATGCATACAAATATGCAAACCTATTTTAATTTGTCATAGTGTGTGGGCATTTTGGATTATTAACTAAACTTTTAACTATTTTTCAGTCTTATCACTATAATTTCAGCAGTGTTACAGTTTATAGTGATATCTAACATGGGACATCATGCTGCAGACATATAGCATGATGTCCCACCCAGTAATTATCCCGACATCAGGCCAATTAGTCCTAACACTAAACTCTTAATGCTGAGCACCAAGCGAGGCAGCTGCTAGTACCAGTTTTATAAGTCTTAAGTATGACTGGGCTAGAGTTCAAATCCGCAACCTCTCCAGCCGAGGCAGACACTGTAACCACGGGATACTTGAGTGTTCTAATTTTTCTCACTTAAGTACATTTTGTGCAATCCTTATAACAATATTCTAACTCCTGAAGCCCTTAATGCAAGCAGTTTGAATATTTAAAATTGCAAACACCCAGAGTTTTGTCCAGTTCAACTAAAAGGCTGATGACATAAATTATTGCCTAGCAGCATCTATCGGAACTGTGACGATGGCAATTTTTGCAGAAAATGACATTTTGACATGCAGTGGGTGCATAAGAAACAAAACAAACTCTGTTCACAAAATATGGTTTCTTAAATATCACCAATATTCTGCTTTACAACACTGTGTTCTTTAATCAATTTGGTAATTATTTGTAGTTGTAGCTATGAACAGAAACCTGTTTAATCCATCCCTCAAGTATTATGGCCTTCTCTCAACACTAACTAAAATAATGTAAATGGTTTATGTTTTATCAGATAATTGTTCACCTTTATTGGTATCATGTTATTATCCTAAAAATCTGTTGTTGCATGATTCCATAACACTGACCAAAATCACACATCAACTTCGCTAAGTAATGCAACTTACATTCATCTGATATAAAATTTATGACACTCACTGAATAAACAATATACCACTTGCTATTAGCAGCTTAAGGCATATAATGTTATTAAACTTTTCATATGTTTCAAGTCAAAGGAACACTTGTACAAGCTATTTATGAGATGAATATGAAATGAGCATCACATTCCAATCTTGCCTAAATTAATAGCTCCCCATACAGTCAAATTACACATATCCTAATGTATTATGATAAAAAAGCTATGCAAATATGAAGCTTATCATCTGGTTTACAGTGAACATGACTCCCATTTTAGCCTCTTTGACCTCTGACCTTTTGCTGACATAACAGCCAGAAATTTGCACTAATAACTTTCATCTTTTGCCTTTTTGATTGCTTGAAATGACTAATGGAAAACTAATGCCAGAATGATTTGATTCACTGGAGTTAAAAGATGATACAACTATTTAAAAAAAATAAAAATTAATTCAAGTCTGATGTGAAATACTCTTAAGACAACAGATGATGCACAAAGGGTTATGAGAATCAGGACTCATTTTTATGCTATACTTACTGACAGCAAAGCAAACAGCACAGATCCAAATTAAGCTAAAATTCTGAGATACAAAAACACAAACAAAAGTATCATAATGAGAGTAAGAACAAATAATTGCAACTGCAGGAGTCAAGGTCAAAGCAGAGGCAAAAGTCGGATGTAATTCTATGCAAGCTACAGAGGTAACTGCTCACCATTTTTGACTGGACTCTCAACAATCGCCCACCAAGCTCCCTACAATGATACAAACAAGGACATGCAATGACACAGTCTACATTCAAAACAAAAATAAAACTAAACAAAAACACTGTTAGTAAATTAAACAAGAAATACATTTCATAAAAAATGATTTGAAAACAAAACTGAATGATGAAACAAATTTTGTTAAAGCATAAAGATGTAATTGTGGCCATGACCCTCAGAGATTGCCACATTCATCTAAAACTAATTATATTCTTTCAAAATATCAGATAATCTTTGATACTTTAAGTCTTAATTCAAATAAATTATTTCCACCATGTGTACAGCTGGATTGTTTTGGTGTGATAAATTAATTAATTGGTGAAGTTACTAAAGCTCAACAAGTTCTATGTTATACATACCAATAATGATGGTTGGGACCTGAAGCAAAAGCCAAATGCACAGACAATTTAAAATGTCATTATCTTTATGGCCTGGCACTTGAAACTTCCTTACTGTTATATCTGCATCAATTGGTTTCAAGCACTTTAAAATGAAACATGGGCAGAAATCTGTGTGAATTTTATTGAAATAAAGTCCCACAGAAAATCAAAAACCTACAAGGTTGAAAAAGTGATAGGTTCTAGCCATGCTGCACTTTAAAACATGCTGAACTAGTTCTAATATCATTTTTCAACATAACATGTTTCAACATCAAATTTCTTTTGACTAAATTGATTCTGATATACCTTAAAGCTAAGTGATGTATCATCAAAATGTTGAAACTTGGAAAATATCTCTGGATGCTCTAAATGTTTTAAAATGACTATGTATTTTGACCAATGCTCAAAGATATTTCAATCTGACAGTTGCTGCAAAATGTCTGTATTTAACATATGCACCAAAATGTCTGTCTTATATTAGACTTGTGCTTAAAAATGTCTGTTTTAGCCTTGTGCTCCAAAATATGTATGTATTAGACTTGTGCTCTAAATGACTATGTATTAGATGTGTGCTCCAAATGTCTATGTATTAGACTTGTGCTCCAAAATGTATATGTATGAAACTTGTGCTCCAAAATGACTATGTATTAAACTTGTGCTCCAAATGACTATGTATCAAACTTCTGCTCCAAAATGACTATGTATTAGACTTGTGCTCCAAATGACTATGTATTAGACTTGTGCTCAAAATGACTATGTATTAGAATTGTGCTCCAAGTGACTATGTACTTCGACCTATGCTTTTGCTTTAAAGTTACTAAATATTTGACACATGTTCTAAAATTTATAAGTATTTGACATATGCTATAAAATTACTACTTAAGCTAGTGTTGGGATCAGTCGAAATTTCTTGATTTATCATCGATTACACCAACCCATCTATGACTGTTTATTAATTGATGAAATTTGGCTGCTGCATGACAAAAATGATAAAAGTAACACATCATTTTAGATTGCGTCTAACTGGTATATAATCAAAGTTTTTATAATTATTTAGGATTGTTGATTGTTATACTTCTTTAAATAAAAATAAATTATCAAAACTTCATTTGTTAACAACAGATTTATTGAAGAATCAAAATTACAATAATTTTATTATAACAAGAACAGGTTAATAAAAACATGAAAATGGTGTTTATTTGTTGATAACAAGAAACTAAGAACAGGTAAACAGGTAAAATCATTTGTCTTGTAAGTGATGTAATAATGAGATAATAGATACATAACAAGATCCAGCTAATCATGACTATAATTAGATGATGAACTTAATTAACATTAACAATAATCGTTTATAACTAGAAATTTTTAATTTCCAGCTTTGAACTTCAACATGATGAGTAAGGTATTGCACGTAGAAACAGCAGTCATTCAATCATTATTCAATGCAAGACTGTACCACTTCATATTCTTCTGGGTAACACCATCACATCCACATTTTACTAGTTTTAAATGAGATCAATATACACGAATGAAATACAATATACTGGTACCATAAAGAACTTATGTAATTTTTCTGAATCCCATCTAAAACCATAAATGAATATAAAACATGTCAAAACCTCCCCTTTACTCTAATTTGTATGGTTTATTTGGACATTATTCACAGAACGTTTTTATAAAAATTTAAACAGGTGCAATGTAATTGACCCTTTAGGCCTATATAAATTATAATACAAAACAATGTTTTTTTCATATCATTTTAAAAAAAAAAAGAATATGACAAAATTCGCAGATAAAAAGATGGTAAAATCAAAATAAACATTTTCATTTGAGACTGTACAAGTCTTTTACTAACCACTACAAGTTGGGGGGGTGCATAACTTGCAAATCACTATTGTCCAGTATAGATTGCCTTTATTTGCTGGACCATCTCCATTTATCTGGAACCCAATGCTGGCCCCCACTTTCAATCATTTCTTCCAGGAAATTCAAAGAGTTTGTTGTCACTTATAAAACTGTATTATCAAATGAATATATTTGGCAGTTTTTCCAACTTGGTAGTAATAATAATTTCATAAATTTATCTGTACCTTTCGGAAACTTGATCATGGAAAGTCATACACGATTGATCAATCAAACTGGCTGAATGAGTGATTCTTTAATAACTCAATCGGAACAGCACTAATTTAACCTATATTCTAAAAGGACTATTTAAACCATGTTCTAAAATGACTGTGTAAGTGATTTGGATTTTTAACATAGCATTAAAACATTTTCAGTCATATTGTTACGATGTCTCCAGTGTGGCAGTTTATCGTGATGTCAATCACAGGGGCATTTTTCTGCAGACATATAGCATGAATTCCCACGAGTCACATCAGGCCTACCAGTCCTAAAACTAACTTCTTAATGCTGAATGCCTTGCAAGGTAGCTGTTAGTACCATTCATATAAATCTTGATATGACTTGGTCAGGGTTTGAACCTGCAACCTTCCACATCTGAGGCAGATGATCTAACCACTAGGCCACTAGAGCATCTCTAAAATGACTGAATTCAACATATACTGTAAAATAATTATGTACCAGACCTATATGCTAAAATGCCTGCATTTAACCTTTACTCTAAATGCCTGTATTTATCCTATACTCTAAATGCCTGTATTTAACCTATACTCTAACATACCTGTATTTAACCTGTACTCTAAATGCCTGTATTTAACCTATACTCTAAATGCCTGTATTTAACCTATACTCTAACATACCTGTATTTAACCTGTACTCTAAATGCCTGTATTTAATTTCTACTCCAAAATGCCTGTATATAACCTCTACACCAAAATGCCTGTATTTAACATGTACTCTAAATGCCTGTATTTAACCTATACTCTAAATGCCTGTATTTAACCTATACTCTAACACACCTGTATTTAACCTGTACTCTAAATGCCTTTATTTAATCTCTACTCCAAAATGCCTGCATTTAACCTATACGTTAAAATGCCTCTATTTAACTTGTATTCTAAATACCTGTATTTAACCTCTACTCTAAAATGCCTATATTTAACCTATACTCAAATATGCCTGTATTTAACCTGTACTCTAAATGCCTGTATTTCCCTATACACTAAAATGCCTGTATTTAACCTATACTCTAACATGCCTGTATTTAACCTGTACTCTAAATGCCTGTATTTAACCTGTACTCTAAAATGACTATACAAAACCTATACTCTAAAATGCCAGTATTTAACCTATACTTTCATATGCATGTATTAACATATCTAAAATGCCAGCATTTAACATATACTCTAGAATGACTTTATTCAACCTATACTCTAAAATGCCTGTATTTAACCTATACTTTCATATGCCTTTATTTAACCTATACTCCAAAATGGCTACATAAAACTTGTACTCTAAAATGCCTGTATTTAACCTCTATTTAACTTGTATTCTAAATACCTGTATTTAACCTCTACTCTAAAATGCCTGTATTTAACCTATACTCAAATATGCCTGTATTTAACCTGTACTCTAAATGCCTGTATTTCCCTATACACTAAAATGCCTGTATTTAACCTATACTCTAACATGCCTGTATTTAACCTGTACTCTAAATGCCTGTATTTAACCTGTACTCTAAAATGACTATACAAAACCTATACTCTAAAATGCCAGTATTTAACCTATACTTTCATATGCATGTATTAACATATCTAAAATGCCAGCATTTAACATATACTCTAGAATGACTTTATTCAACCTATACTCTAAAATGCCTGTATTTAACCTATACTTTCATATGCCTTTATTTAACCTATACTCCAAAATGGCTACATAAAACTTGTACTCTAAAATGCCTGTATTTAACCTATTCTCTAGAAGGACTGTATTTAACCCATGCTCTAAAACTACTATATACTTGGCATGTTATTATATATTTAACCTTTACTGTAAAATGACTATTTGACCAATGCTTCAAAATGATATTGTATTTGACCTATGTTTAGAAGTCCTCACCATTGGTAACATAGCATGGGACTTACACAGCCAAGGTACATTCCCTAAACTTCATTACAATGGGACCAAGTGAGTTAAAGATTAACCAAGTTGTTCTTGTCCTAGTAATTTCATGCAGGCACAACAGGGCAGTGAGGACATTTTACAAGAAATGTCATAATTAATACAAATTTCTGTTGTTTTTTTTTAGTAGCAGAAAAACTCTTCAATGTTTTCCTACTTCAAGCAAAAGATTCCAAATATGACTGCACATCAGAATTACCTGTACATATCTGAGTTCTCAATGCCAGGATGCCCTCTGTCAAAACTCAATTTTTAAAGTGTTATTTTTAACTCATTAACCCCTGGTGCCATGTTTTTGCATCAGGGGGTAGTACCCTACTTCTGAGCTCTTAAGCATTAAGGTAATATAAGATACACCTAAAATGGGTTGCATTACAGAAAAGAAGACACATGGTTCTACAAAGAATCCAAATAATCTGGTCTTTCTACTCGCATTACAAAATATAGAGGAAAATATGTATTTTTTGGGACCATGTCGGAATTGGAATTTGTGTCCAGATTTTAGACATTTTGGCCTCAGTTTTAAGGCAGACCAGTCAAACTCGCACAGACAGGCAAATGTTTGCAAAAAGTAGAATAAGTTTGGGAGTTCAAGATTTCAAGTAAAAAGTGGTCAGGACATGAAAATGATGGGTTGAATAAGAGGGAAAAAAAATGTCCAAGTTCTACCCTTCTTGCAGATTCGTGAGTAAAATAACCAATGAAAAACGTTTCTAACAAAACTAGGCATCAGACCAAACAGAAATCACTTGGACTCAGATTTGATTGGATGTATTTAAAAGCAGCTACCAAAGTGTGTTTCCTACTCGTATTTCTAGTGAAAATGACAAAAACTAATCTCCAGGAGTTAAGTTGTTGTTGTGCTTAATGCCATTTTTTTCAGCACACAATAGGCTATTCATGGCAGCCAGTATTAATGGTTGAGGAAGAAACAGGGAAATCACCAGAAAGAACCACCGACCCACGAGAAGCTACTGGCAAGCTTTCTCACATATCCATATTCACTTAATCCTAGCCTCGAACACACAGAGAGAGGTGAGATGGCAGTGATTCGCTAATGAGTGAAGTGGAAGTTATTGATAGGCTTTTCCATTTTTTTTTTAAATTGTGGCCATATCTTTAAGGTGGATCTGCATCATTTGTACAGAAATTAAAGATCTTAATGACAAAATGCTTATAATCACATCTGATCCAATTCTGCCAAGCACTTTTGAAAAAAAGTCATTTAAAGATTTTTGTACTTTAAGTAACAGGTATATTCTATAGTAGTATTGGCATTATTTGAACTAATAAGGAAGACCTATATGTTAATTTTGGTCAAACTTGGTCAAATTCTGCCATGAAAAAGAAATAATTTAAAGGTTTTTTTTACTAATGAGGGCCATTTAACAGCAGATTGGCAACATCTGAACAAATTTTAATGAACACGGATGCGGATGCTAAAACGCTCTTTATAAATGATGGAACAAACTGGCTGAGCAGTTTTTGAAAAGATGAAGGACAATGTTTTAAACTATCACCATACTTAGCCTTATGTCCTGATTATCTGAAAATGTTCAATTCAAAATAAGTCTTTTCTTGGCAAATGCGATTTGCTTCCAATGAAACATAATGGTCATTATTCTGTACTTATTTCTGCAATGTATCCTTAATCCATGATAATACATCTGAGAGAAATGTAACTCACAAAATTTTTGCAGGGTCTAAAATGTTTTCCAATTACACAAGTCAAATGACATGAAGAGTCTCCATAAACACATCCAGTACATTCTTAAAAATTACAGGATTCTGAGTCAACACATTGCTGAACAACATTTGTGATGTTCTGACATTGCAATCATTAGCATCTATGCTGATCATTCAAAAGTAATCAACAGGACAACACAGCATGGGTCAAGATACAATGGCCCATTATGTAACGTCAGTCCTACAATGCAAGATGTCACCCTTGATATGTATGATGAGGAAGTCGATGTCTTACACTGCAGTGACAGTGCAGTCAGGCTCTATTATGACAGCATCAACATAGGCCAAATTTTCAAGAATATCTCACATACTGGGCAGCCAATATTGGTACTGTTGCTGAGCTTAGAGCATTTACTTCTTTCAGTGAAAACTTACTGTGATGTCCTTTTCCTAACTAATTAATACCAGGCACAATCATTGGGTTATATTTTCAAACTGGTGACTGCCATTTGGAAGAATGACAGAACTGGCTGAATTAGGAGTGAATCTTCTTTAATGTGACCAAATCTTACTCAACCGTTCATTTTCTTAATGAAACTAAAGTATTAGATCAACCAAATACGGTTTCCCTCAGCCAACATTGCTCTTCAACCAGACTGAAATGTTAATCCAAAACAGCAACACAATACAAGAGCAAACAAGGTAATATCTATATTTTCAGAAATAAAGCATGCATTATTCATGGAAATATGCACTTAAATCCATATATTTTGCTCAATTATTCATGCAAAGATTAAAAAGTCATGTATTAAACTTTAAGTTTTTGATAGAATTACAAAATCACATCTTAGATGCAACACTGTACATGACAGTCTTAATCTAAACAAGACTTTAAAAGATAGCAAACACAGATCTACTATTTTGCTCCAGTAATTTGCCAAGAAAATATTTTTATTTTCACGATTCAATGTCACCTCAGTTCCAAAATTTAATTAGAAAATACATGCTTGTGAAAGAAAAATTGGATATTTAACAAAAACAAGGATGCTGTGAAAACTTTTATCATTATAAGGAATACTATAAAATAAGTAAATCATTCTTCAGAAAGAGTAAAGTTCATGTTGATCGCAGTGTGTGTTGATGTGCGGTATTCTCATTACTGATTAGGTACAATGGAGGAAATTTTGTTTACCATGCATTCAGGAACCTTTTCTTTAACTACAAGTATTAATATTAACATTTTGGCAGCCAGTCTTTCAATCAATTGCCCGAAGAGCATTGGAAAAAATGGTCATATCTGTTGAAATATGACCAACTTACCCCACAAGAGCTAGTTAAATACATAACTAAAAGGTATCAGTCAATGAATAAAGGACTGAGGTGAGGGGCCTTTAACATGGACCCCACACTATGAAAAGTACGGATTAAATGTTAACTAGAAGTAGCAAATAAACTCACCTCTGTTTCACTAAGAATATGTGCCTGTCTCCTGACAGAAAATTACCCAACCACAGCATTTTTACACAATAAAATAGCTCCAATGAACTAATGTTTCTTTTTATGTGATGCAATTCTGCCTCTAAATAAAATTTGTCTACATCTATGTCTACTGTTCCAAGTCAAATAATTTTACAATAAATCTGATATTTCTGCATCCAGCATAACCACTTCACATGAAAATATAACTGGAATGCTCAGTCATGAAACTGACAAACCTTAGGTAGAAACAATCTAAAACATTCCCATCAAAATCGATGTCTACAGCTC